AATGCTGGTCATTTTTGACCGGCTCTATGTTCATTGTGGTCTTTTCGGCTAGCTAATTTATTAGCTGGCTGAACCAACATTTGTAGTTACCTGGTTGATCCTGCCAGTAGTCATATGCTTGTCTCAAAGATTAAGCCATGCATGTCTAAGTATAAACAAATTCTATACTGTGAAACTGCGAATGGCTCATTAAATCAGTTATGATCTACATGACAATTCATTACTACTTGGATAACCGTGGTAATTCTAGAGCTAATACATGCAACAAAAGCCTCGACTTCGGAAGGGGTGCACTTATTAGGTAAAAGCCAACCTGGTGTTAAAGCCAGTTTTTTGGTGATTCATAATAATTCAATGCTGATCGCATGGCCTTGTGCTGGCGACGGTTCATTCGATTTTCTGCCCTATCAGGTTAAGATTGTAAGATAGAGGCTTACATTGCCTACCACGGGTAACGGGGAATTAGGGTTCGATTCCGGAGAGGGAGCCTGAGAAACGGCTACCACATCCAAGGAAGGCAGCAGGCGCGCAAATTACCCAATCCCAATTCGGGGAGGTAGTGACAATAAATAACAATGCAGGGCCTTTTAGGTCTTGCAATTGGAATGAGTACAATTTAAATCCCTTAACGAGGATCTATTGGAGGGCAAGTCTGGTGCCAGCAGCCGCGGTAATTCCAGCTCCAAGAGCGTATATTAAAGTTGTTGCAGTTAAAACGTCCGTAGTCGAATAGTAGCTTTTGGCTAGGTGACTTGATCTTCATTGGTCTAGTTCGCTTTAGTCATGGCTCTCACGTTTGGTACTGTCTGGTTGGCTTCGGTCGGTTAGATATAAGGCCAAACAAATTACCATGAGCAAATCAGAGTGTTTAAAGCAGGCTATAAGCCTGAATGTGTTAGCATGGAATAATGAAATAAGACGTGGCTCTATATTTCGTTGGTTTTAAGAGACCATTGTAATGATGAATAGGAACGGTTGGGGGGATTTGTATTTGGTCGCTAGAGGTGAAATTCTTGGATTGACCGAAGACAAACTACTGCGAAGGCATTTCACCCAGGACGTTTTCATTGATCAGGGTCGAAAGTTAGGGGATCGAAGACGATTAGATACCGTCGTAGTCTTAACAGCAAACTATGCCGACTAGAGGTTGGATAAGTACATTATGGCTTATTCAGAATCTTAGCGAAAGCAAAGTTTTTGGGTTCCGGGGGGAGTATGGGACGCAAGGCTGAAACTTAAAGGAATTGACGGAAGGGCACCACCAGGAGTGGAGCCTGCGGCTTAATTTGACTCAACACGGGGAAACTCACCAGGTCCAGACATAAGAAGGATTGACAGATTGAAAGCTCTTTCTAGATTTTATGGGTGGTGGTGCATGGCCGTTCTTAGTTCGTGGAGTGATTTGTCTGGTTAATTCCGATAACGAACGAGACCTTATTTTACTAAATAGACAGACCAACTTTTTAGTTGGGTTAAGCTTCGGCTTTTCTGTCTTCTTAGAGAAACTACCTGCGCTAAGCAGGATGAAGTTAGGCAATAACAGGTCTGTGATGCCCTTAGATGTTCTGGGCCGCACGCGCGCTACACTGACATAGTCAACGAGTCTATAACCTTGGCTGAGAAGCTTGGGTAATCTTTTGAAACTATGTCGTGCTGGGGATTGAGCTCTGTAACTATTGCTCATCAACGAGGAATTCCTAGTAAGCGCAAGTCATCAGCTTGCGTTGATTACGTCCCTGCCCTTTGTACACACCGCCCGTCGCTACTACCGATTGAATGGTTACAGCAAGAATATGGGATTGTTGGGAGCTAGTTGGCAACAACCGGCTTTCGATGAGAACTAGGTCAAGCTTTGCTATTTAGAGGAAGTAAAAGTCGTAACAAGGTTTCCGTAGGTGAACCTGCGGAAGGATCATTACCAATGTTGTCTACAGTTCAGCGTTTACGCTGGTCTGATAGTCTAACAAAACTTTGTGAATCGTCTCGTACCTTGGGATTTAAAAATAGCTGGTCATTAAACCGTCGAGCTGATCCCTATAGGAAAACAAAATCTTACTGAAGAACTGAATCTAGTTGGAAAACTAAAAGTTAACATGACCGCAAGGTTATAAAACAACTTTCAGCAACGGATCTCTTGGTTCTCGCATCGATGAAGAACGTAGCAAACTGCGATACTTAATGTGAATTGCAAATTCAGTGAATCATCGAGTCTTTGAACGCACATTGCGCTCACTGGTATTCCAGTGAGCACGCCTGTTTCAGCATCACAAAAACAACCACAAAACAATTTGTTTATTCGAATTTGTTTTGATTATGGATAGATCATGGTATTTATACCGTTGAATCATCTTAAGCAAAGCTTGTAAAAGAATCTTGTCGGTTATCAACAGATCAAACTTTATAAAAATCACCTGGCTATGGTTGCCGGTGCTAGTTTATCTGGGCAGACATAAGAACGGTTCCCAAGTAAAAAGTAGTTTGGCTCATTTATTTAAGCCAA